ATACACGGTCAAGATGGAAAATGGGACTGTAGTAAGGAGAAATCGGAAACATCTCAGGACTGTGTTTGGAGGACCTCAGAGTGCAGACACCCAAAACATGAGTGTCAAAACTGAACAGTCAAATAAGAAAATCAATCTGGATGAGGGACATTCACGGACAGTAACACACACTCACACACAACATTCAGATAACAGTAACGATGTTGTGACAACCAGAGCTGGCAGAATAGTCAAGAGACCAAAACACTTGAAAGATTTTGTTTAAATCTGTTTAATTGTTACCACGAGACAGAAGAGCTGTTTTGACTATATGGTGTTATATTGTTGTTCTTGGTCACAAGTTATTTCATAAAGTGACCATATTTCATGCCATATATGAAAAAAAAAAAAAAAAAAAAAAAGGAGGATGTTACAATATGTTATATATGGTCATAAGGAACTGGAAGTGACAGACTATGTATTGTTGAACCCTGAGTCCTGTGTATGTGACGTCATTGAGATGCGCAAGCACGTGAAGTAAAGAGAAGCACTGAGAAGCATGCGGTTGTGAGATTCATTTATTTTATAGAAATAGAGTGAGTGTCATACAGAGCCAAGCATAACAACACGTAAGATTGAATGCGAAAGGAATAACATTTATTAAAGTAAAAATAAGAAAATATATCAAAACGAGAACAAGACAATAACTAAAGCAACAAAATAATGGCACGAGGGGAGAGCGCACCCGTCACGACTGAAGGGAGCTGCTTTTATTTGCCGGCATCAGCTCTAACACAGGTGAACACCATCAATCCATCATGACGTCACTCACTCCAACTCCAACCTACAAAACAAGGTAACACTTTAGAATACGGTTCCTTCGTTAATGAATAACTACACAAGAACTAATGAGTAACACAATATTAACAATCTAGTAACCATTATTAACTAACAAGAAACTCTGATTAACGAACTAGTAAGTAATAGCGCACAGACGAAAGTGGTAGTTCACTATTAAGTAATCGATAACTGCTATTTTTTAATACTTCCCAGAGAACTACTGAAAAAGTTTATTAACAATCTAGTAACTACTATTAACTAAAATAAATTCTGATTAACGAATTAGTAAGTAATAGCTCACAGATGAAAGTGTTACTAGATACTTCTGTGGGAATTACTAATTATTTGGATTCGTATTATAAAGTGAAGATCCTTGGAATTAACTAGTAATTACTCAAGTGTTACTAAAGACATTTTCTAAAAGTATACTAAAGTTCACCAAAAATCTCAAACGGTTGCACAAATCATGACTAGATCATGTAGGAACACTTGAGTAATTACTAGTTAGTTCCAATGATCTTCACTTTATAATACGGATCCAAATAATTAATCAGTCGGGTTCACTCAGAGACCAGTGCCACGGTGGAGGACGGGCTATCTGGCGAAGCCAACAGGGCTCCGCCCGGGGAGGAAGTTCCGCCTCCGGAGTCGGCTCTCCACAAAGCCCAATGCCGCTCTCTCCACGTCAATCACTTGACCCGCTTCCTGCCACCAGGGCGGCGGTGAAGCCTGGGCCAGACTGTTGGCGCTGTGGGGACCCGGGGCATTTCATTGACCGGTGTCCAGTGATGGAGGTGGGGACATTGATCCGGGTCCTCGACGCACCACAGGCCACCCTCGATCAAGCTGGCCTATACCAATACCAGTGAGTATCAAGGGGGGTACATATCAGGCTTTGGTGGATTCAGGATGTAACCAAACCTCCATTCATCCCAGCCTGATTCAGCCGAGGGCATTGGATAATAGCCGCATGGTTAAGGTTCGGTGTGTGCACGGGGAGGTGGTGACGTATCCTATTTTGCCTGTGGATATTCAATTTAGGGGAGAAAAGCATAGAATAGAGGTGGCAGTTAACCAGCACCTCCGGCATCCAAT